CTTTACGATCCCCTGCCTGCTTCCCCCACCCCTACCGACCCCTGCCTGCTTCCCCCACCTCCTACCAATCCCCTGACTGCTTCCCCCACCCCTACGGATCCCCTGCCTTCTTCCCCCACCCCTACCCCTCCTATTCCCGCCTGCTTCCCCACCCCTACCGACCCCCTTGCCTGCTGATCCCCTGATCCAACTTCCGACCCCCCCCTGTCCCCCACCCCTCCAAACCCCTAACCATCCCCACTGTACAACACCGCCTTTCACCGCCTACCGATCCTAGCCTGCCTTCCCCCACCCTACCGAGCCCCTGCCTGCTATCCCCCCACCCTTACCGACCCCTGCTTGCTTCCCCCACCCCTACCGATCCCCTGCCTGCTTCCCCCACCCCTACCAATTTCCCGGATGCTTCCCCCACCCCTACGGATCTTCGCCTCTGCCTTCTTCCCCCTACCCCTACCGCATTCCTATGCCTGCTTTCCCCCACCCCTTACGCCCCCCCCTGCTTTGATTCCCCCACCCCTACGGATCCCCTGTTGATCCCCACCCCTACGGATCCCTGCCTGCTTCCCCCACCCCACGATCCCCTGCTCACTTCCCCCCACCCCCTACGACCCCTGCCTGCTTCCCCCACCTACCGGACCCTTGCCTTTGCACCCCCACCCCTACCGATCCCCTGCCTGCTTTACCCCCGACCCTTTACCGACCCCTTGCTAGCTCCCCCACCCCTACCCGACCCTCTGCTGCTTCGCCCACCCCTTACCGATCCCCTCCCCCACCCCTACCAGGCTTCCCCCACCCCTCCTACCGATCTCTGCTCTGCCCCACCTCCCACCACCCCTACCCCCTCTGTCCTTCCCCCACCCCTACCGATCCTTGTTCTGCTTCCCCCACCCCTACCGATCCCCCTGCCTGCTTCCCCCACTCCTACCGAATCCCCTGCTGCTTCCCCCACCCTTACCGCCCCTGCCTGCTCCCCCCCACCCTCCTTACGATCCCTGCTGCTTCCCCACCCCCTACCGATCCCCTGCCTGCTTCCCCACCCCTACCGATCCCCTGTGCCTGCTTCCCCCACCCCTACCATCCCCTGCCTGCTTCCCCCACCCTACGATCCCCCTGCTTGCCTTCCCCCACCCCTGACCGATTCCCCTGCCTGCTTCCCCCACCCCTACCGCTCCTCTGCCTGCTTCCCCCACCCTACGATCCCCTGCCTGCTTCCCCCACCCCTACCCATCCCTGCCTGCTTCCCCCACCCCCTATCCCTGACCCCCTACTCCCTGCCTGCTTCCCCACCCCTACCGATCCCCTGCCTGTTTCCCCACCCTACGACCCTTGCCTGCTTCCCCCACCCCTATGAAAAGAATCCAGGAGACGACAGGCCGACAGACCGAACATACAGCGAAATGCGACGGAATACCAGCGCTGACATCCAAATAAACCGAAACCGACAGGGACGTCATCTTCAAATATCCAAACGAAAAAACAAAAAAAAATAAAAAGTAAAAATGCGAAAATGAGAAGAGGAATAGTTGTTGGGAAAATTACATACATCATAATAAGAATGGGGACGGGAGCGACAGGCGGCAGAGTGGATATGGGCGTGGGTGCTGGGCAAGGAATGCGGAGGGAGGGGGAGGGGGAGAGGGGAGGGGAGAGGGAGGGGAGGGGGGAGGGGAGGGACGGTGGGGAGGTGCAGGTAGGTGGAAGGAGAGGGAGAAGGAAGTGTGGGTGGAAGTGAGGGGGAGAAAGGGAAGGAAGGAAGGGAGTGAGGAAATGGAGGAGGGAAGAGGAAGCAGGAGAGGAGAGGGAGGGAAGGGAGGGAGGGAGAGAGAGAAGAGAGAGAGAGAGAGAGAGAGAGAGAGAGAGAGAGAGAGAGAGAGAGAGAGAGAGAGAGAGAGAGAGAGAGAGAGAGAGAGAGAAGAGAGAGAGTTGGGGGGAGGCAGGGAGGGAGGGAGAAAGAGAAGAGAAACAGAAGTGACAGACGAGCAATGACATTAAAGATATCAATAATAATGAAAAGTTGGAAAAGGACATAACAAGAGGAAATGAAACGAACAATTAAAAGGAATTAAAAAAAACAGACGCAGGAGCACAAAACAACAACGACAACGACGACAACAACAATAGCAACAACAAAAACAAAAACAACAACAACAACAACAACAACAACAACAACAACAACAACAACAACAAACAAAAACAACAAACAACAACAACAACGACGACGACAACAACGACGACGCGCCGACGACGCCAAGCACAGCGACAAGGGCCCGCCCGCGCAACGGCCCCCGCCGCCTACCGAGCGCACACGAGGGTGGAGCTCCGCGCCTCGCCTTATAAGGAAGCGAAACTCAAAGCCGAGTTCAGAGACGACGGAAGCGGTGACAGGCAAGCCGGCCGGGGATGAACATCTGGGGGAGATTGGAGTCGCATGTCTATTTCTCTTTCTGCATCTGTCCCTCTTTCGCTCTCTCCTTCTTCCTTTCTTTCTTTTTATTCTCTCTTTCTCTCCTCTCCCTTTCTCCTTTCTTTTCCTTCTCCTATCTCTCTCTCTGCTCTCTCTCTCTTCTCTTTCTCTCCCTCTCTCGCTCTCTCTCTCTCTCTCTTCCGGGTCGATGTATGTTAAAGCTAAACTATTTGACAAGCATTTAATACATCATTTGCATGTTTACGATTAGGTACATTACATACGAGGTACTTCTAACATCTCTTAAATGCCAACGTGTTTGAGCCGAAAGTCTTAAAGAAGAAACATGCTCATATTCACATACAGTTATAACGCAACTTAAAACTTCTTAAAGCAGGCAACTTGTAAAAAAAAAAAGTGTACGAATAAAAAAGTTATCTTTTCAAAGTACTAAAAATTGAGAACAATCACAAAAAAAACACAAATTTACTTTTCGATTAAAAACACACATTACAAAAGTACTGAATAAACACCTGAAGCGATTAAAACCAAAAATACACCGAGAACTATCGCAAAAGGACATACTTGCTCTTGAATAAAAGCAAGTATGTCTGTAAATAAATAAATAAACACACGAAAAAAAATTTAAAAAAAAAACAAAAAAGATACACCGAGAACAATCACAAAAACACACTCAAAATACAGTGACCCAATAATTATCCGCCGGACCCATAAGCAAAGCCAGTCAACACACACACCCCGGTTCCTCGCCCAGCGATAGCGAACGTCAACATTGGCACGTGCTCCAGGAGACGATGTCAACACTACCACGTGTCTCGCACTTACGAGTTGCCAACTTCTTCTTTATTTTATTTGGTGTACCTTCCTCACAGAGAACGAGGACGCCCCATCCCCTCTGGCACGCTACAGATAAACAACCGCTTTGGCTTAAACTTCTTTAGATTATACGCGTCAATCCGCGTCTCGCTACAAATGGAAGAAAAATATGCGGGTTCAGGAATTCACTCCTTCACTGTAATCTATTTTTGATGGCGTCATCTGTCTCGAAAGTGTCAAAGGAAGCTTAGAGAGGAAGCTAAGCTAGATAAGGAATGTCATCGACTCATAAACAAAAGCCGAATGCAATACGACGGCGAGAACAAGATACGTAAATAAATAAATAAAAATAAACATATACAGAATACAGCAACATGGCAATAAGGCTATAAGAGCAATAATTCAAAATATAAGAGAACAAGAACGCAAAAAAATACAAAATATCACAAAGCTACAAAAATAGATCGCAAGACAAATAAATACAACATACAACTTACCAAGGGATAAAAAAATAAAAAAAATACAAAATAAAAAAATACAAAAACACCTACAAGAAATACAACAAAAACAAAAGCAAAACAACAAAAGGCAGCTCCCCCAAAATAACTACGACAAATCACAACAAAGCCAACCTCAACAACAAAACAACACAAGCAAAATACCACTGCCTCCCCCCCCCCCCACCCTCCCTCCGCGAGTGCATGGGGGAGGTAAGGGAGGTAGTGCAGGGAGGGGAAGGGGGGGAGAGGAGAGGATGGAGAACGAAAGCACCAGGGGGGGGGGGTCAGGGGGGGAGGGGGCGTGGAAAGAGACATTAATATTTCAAGAGAAAGCAGTGTTGCCATCCCCTCCCCTGAGGACAGTGATACCCACGAAGACAAACATTTTAGTGGATAAACACTGCGGATGTCGAGGAAGAGGCAGAAAGATAAAGGAGAATGAGAGAAGAGGACGAAGAAGCATGCGACTTGCGAGGATGGCGAAAGAAGAGAAAGAAAAGTATATGAAGTATAAATTGGAAGAAATGCTAGGAGAAGACGAAGGCGAGGACAAGTAGTAGTAGTAGTAGTAGTAGTAGTAGCAGCAGCAGTAACAGTAGTAGTAGTGATAATAATAACAATAACAACAACAATAAAAATAGGAGAAAGGAAAGAAATCAAGACACAAGGTTAAAAAACGCAAGTAGAAGATAAGAAACGACACATGGAAAAAAAAGAGAAGAGCAAAAATACCAGAAAACAAAAATATTACCGAAAGACAAACCAGTAAAATAAACAAAACAAAAACAAAAAGAGAAGTAAACACGAATCAACATGACCAAAGCCACGTAATCCCCCTCCAGCCCCCCCTCCTTCCCCCCTGAGGCCAGCTGATCCCCAAGCAAAAAGGAACGGAAGAAGAAAAGATGATGACGAAGGAGAGGAAACTGATCAGAAAGAAAATGAAAATGGAAAACGAAGGAGGAAATGACGATTATAAAGAAAATGAAAATGAAGAAAATGACGAGAAATAACCAAGATGGTAAGCTGGAGAAATGATGGATATGAAAATAAAAATGAAGGAAATGACAAGAATCAAATTAAGATAATCAACAAAAACAAAACAAAAAAACGATAATCACTGAAAAATACAAAAAAAAACATCTCGAGAGAAAACAATAATAACTAGTCTATGAAGAAAAACAAACATCAAAAAACAATACACAAAGAAAACGGTAAAACCCAAAAACACACAAACAAGCAAAAAACACAAGACTCACCAAGGCGGGCTGGACGCGGCGCAGGTGCAGCAGCCACGTGTAGTTGTCGCAAATGCATCGCCAAGCACCTTCCACGTACTGACTGATCTCGGGGACCGACAACACACTGCGGGAGGAGGGAGAAGGGGCTGAGTGAAGGGGGGAGAATGGTGGTGGTAGTTATGGTGTGGTGGTGGTTGTTATGGTGGGTGTGGTGGTAGTTATGGTGGTGGTGGTGGTGGTTGGTAGTTATGGTGGTGGTTGCGTGGTTGTTATGGTGGCTGTGGTGTGGTTATGGATGTGGTAGTGGTTATGGATGTGGTAGTAGTTATGGTGGTGGTAGTTATGGTGTGGGGTTGATATGGTGGTGTTGGTGGTAGTTATGGTGGTTGTGGTAGTGGTATGTGTGGTGGTGTTTGTGTGGTGGTAGTTATGGTGGATGTGGTGGTGGTAGTTATGGGGATGTGGTGGTGGTGTTGTCATAGTTGTTGGTGGTGCTGGTGGTAGTGAGCTGTTAATGGCAGTGGGTGGTATTGTTAGTGTTGTTGCTGCTGTTTTGTGTGGTGGTGAGTGCAGGTTGGTATTGCTGTTGTTGCCGATGGTGCTGGTGATGCTAGAGGTGTTGTTACTCTTACTATCGTTATTTAGAGTTATGCTTTTCGATCTAGAGCTCTCTAATGTGACGTTACGTGTGTTCGTACAGTATGTGGCGCATGTCTGATAATAATGATAATAATGATAATAATGATAATAATGATAATAATGATAATAATGATGATAATGATGACAATGATGACAATGATATCAATACTACTACTACTAGTAGCAGTAGTAGTAGTAAAAATAATAATAATAACAATAATAACAGCAATAATAACAACAACAATAATGATAGTCAAGATAGCAACAGCAATAACAACAATAATAATAGCAATAAGAAACAATAATAAACTGAAAATAAGTAGAATGAGAACCCCAAGATCCGAGAACGAAGCAGTATCGAACCTCCGAGAACGAAACAACAAGACCGAGACAGCGAAGCAAGTGATTGTTTATTTTTTGTGCTCATTGAGTTTAATTGGGCAGAGCCGCGCCAGTTGACTCCTTGTTAAGAGTTAAATGTCTCAAAATATCAGATGATGCATCCAAGTCTAGTAAACCCTTGTGGTGAGCACGAGAGCGGAGATGAGGTTAAAGGGTGCATGTTATGCTGAACTGTCGTGCATTGGTTTTATCACACTTACAAGAATCATATATGTGTACATGCATACATACATACATTCATACATACTTGTACACACATATGCATATAGATGTGTACACAGAAAAGGCAGACAAACAAAGAAACACACAGAGAGGAAAAAAGGGGGGGAAGAGAGAGAGGGAGGGAAGAGAGAGAGAGAGGGAGAGAAGAGAGAGGAAAGAGGAAGGGAGAGAGAGAGGATGAGGGAAGGAGACAGGAAGAGGGAGGGGGAGAGAGAGGAGAGAGGAAGAGGGAGAGGAGAGAGAGAGGAGGGAGCGGGAAAGAGGGAAAGGGGGGAGAGAGAGAGAGAGAGAGAGAGAGAGAGAGAGAGAGAGAGAGAGAGAGAGAGAGAGAGAGAGAGAGAGAGAGAGGAGAGAGAGAGAGAGAGAGAGAGAGAGAGATAATAATAATAATAATAATAATAATAAATATATACAATATCATCAACAATAATAATAACAATGATAAGAGAAACAACATTAATAAACAAACAAAATAAAAAAGATCTTCAACGAAGTAAAACACAACACACCTATATATCAAAAATTTATTCAAGAAGGATGAGATTCAATACTGTAAGGGGGAGGGGGAGGGGGAGAGGGGGGGGGACACGCCGATACTCATATGAAAAAATATGAAGGAAAAGTTATAAGAAAAAAAAAAATATCGCGAATTGCAACTTCATTCTGCAATGAGCTGGATCAAACACCATGCATGATTTGTAAATGCATAAATATATATATATATATATATTGATACGTGCAATAGGATTTTTTCTAATCCTATAATCCTTATCCGATCTCTCGCTTACGTGTTCAGCCACACCTGAATATTCGTGCAAAACATATTCGCTGGATGGAGGAAGGGAGGAAGGGGGAGGGAGGAGGGGGAGGAAGAGGGAGGGAGAGGAGGAGGAAGGGAGGGAGGGAGGAGGAGGGAGGAGGGAGGAGGGGAGGGAGGGAGGAAGGAGGGAGGAAGGGGGAGGGAGGGAGGGGAGGGAGGGAGGGAGGGAGGGGGAGGGGGGGAGAGGGAGGGAGAGGGAGAGGGAGAGAGAGGAGAGGGAGAGGGAGAGGGAGAGAGGGAGGAGAGAGAGAGAGAGAAGGGAGAGAGAGAGAGAGAGAGAGAGAGAGAGAGAGAGAGAGAGAGAGAGAGAGAGAGAGAGAGAGAGAGAGAGAGAGAGAGAGAGAGAGAGAGAGAAAGGGGGGAGGAAAAGAGAGAAATATCCTCAGTAGTCCCTTCAAATCTTTCCTTGTATGACATCATCAACATAAATAAGTATAACAGGAAAAAATCACCTGCAATCTATCAGTTTTTCTTTAGGATTAAAAAATATATGATGACACCTATTTCGCTTCTTTCCTCCTCCTCCTTACTTCTCTTCTTCTCCCTCTCTTCCTCCTTTCTTCCCCTTCCCTTACCTCCAAATCCTATAAACCTTGCCCACCCTTCCCTCTCCCTTCTCCTGTCAATGCATCCAATCCCCACCTCCCTTAACCCCTCCCTCCCGCCTCCCTTAACTCCTCCCTCCCGCCTCCCTTAACCCCTCCCCCCTCCTTAACCCCTCCCTCCCCCGCCTCCCTTTACCCTTCCCTCCCCTCCTTAACCCCTCCCTCCCCCCTCCCTTAACCCCTCCCCCCGCCCTCCCCCCCGCCTCCCCGCTAGTGCCTAGTCACCTCAGGCAAGCTGGCACGATCACCCGGCCGCGCGAACGAGTGTCCGAGGATTGCGTCACTGCCTCGCTCACTCCTTCCCTCTCCCTCCCTCCCTCCTCCCCGCCTCTCTCTCCTGTTTCATCTCTCCGTTCCCTCCTTCCTTTCCTTTGCCTCTCCGTTCCTTCCTCCTCCCTCTCATCCTTCCTCCTTCCCTCCCTCCATCTCATCTCCTCTCTCCATCTTTTCCTCCTTTTCCCCTTTTTTCTATCCCCCTCTCTCTCTCCCTCCTCCTCTCCCACGATACGTTTTGGTCATCGAGGCAGCGTCCGCGAGGGAGCCGCATCGGGCCCTCAGCCAAACCGCGCTCGGAGAGACGATAAGACACCGGATGAAATACTCCCAGAGACAAGATGAAAACAGAAGAGAAAACGCCATTGCTTTTTTTCTTTTCTTTTCAATTTCATTTTTAATTCCGTCTCGTCTCCTCGCACCCTTCGACGACGTCCAAGCCAGACACAACCGCCTCTTCCATCTCTCTCTGGCTCTCTCTCTCTCCCCTCTCTCTCTCTCTCATTCTTCTGAACATCAAAAACTAAAAAAAAAAAAAAAAATATTGCAAACGTCACGACTGAACAGGCATCTCGCCCACAGAAGGAGAACCCGCGGCTGACACTTGTCATCGACCGGGAGAAGGCTTTGTCATGTTGGCTAGTCATGCCATGCCCCGTCGCTAAGAGGGTATAGCGAGTGCCCGACATACCCTGCCATGCCATTAGGAGTTTAATAGGTAACAGTGTGATAGTATCGAGTGCAGTGTGGTGCACCGATTCGTAGTCACTATATCAAGGGCGTGATTGGCGCTCTCTTTACACTAGCAACACACTATCACTAAGTCTCACTATCTATAAGGCTCATATGGATATTCAAAATACATGCTTTTAAAACCGTAATCCGTCCATGCTAATCTGTAAGCTATTTTTTTTTTATGATATTCATCTTTTCAGAGTTCAGTATATGCCCACACTTACATGTAGAAGATCGTGATATTTGCAACATGATTTTTTTTATAGCTAATTACAAGCGGAGGGGTGTGCTTCAGGGAAAGCAAACGAAAACATCAAAATCTGCCAAGGTGTAATCATTAAAGACATCACTGAACATTATATATCTTTCTCTCCTCCCTCCCTCTCTCTCTCTGTCTCTCTCCCTGTCTCTGTCTCTGTCTCTGTCTCTGTCTCTCTCTCTCTCTCTCTATGTCTTTCTTTCTCTCTATGTTCTCTTTTCTCCTCTGTCTGTCTCTCTTTCTCCTCTGTCTCTCTCATCTCCTCTGTCTCTCTCTCTCTTCTCTTCTCTCTCTCTCCTCTCTCTCTCATCTCTCTCTCTCTCTCTCTCTCTTCTCTCTCTCTCTTCTCTCTCTCTCTCAAACCGAGCCCCTCAAAACAAATCCAAAACTGATCCAAAACAAAACAGGTCACCGTCGGCTCACCCGCAGCCAACTTCGAGAGATAAATAAAAAAAAAAATCAACGACCTCAAATTACATGTCACTGTAGCATACAACATCACGAAAACAACATCTATAAAAAAAAAATGCACATCATAACCTCCCAACCCCGACAGAAACACACGCACCACCAATCACCACAGAAAAATACAGACCATACCCTCTCCGCCCTCGCAGCAACAACACGCCCCCTAACCCCACCCACCACAGCAAACCAAGTCACAACCAGCCACCCAAAGTCCCCAGTAACAAGACACACCACAACAGCCAACGCAGCGCCGCAACAACCACAGCAACCAACAACAACAAGCGCCGCAGAGAGCACAGGCCGGCGACGCGTCTCCCACCGTTGGCCGCACCCACACCGACAGGATCTGGCAGTCCGCCCCCGCCCGCCCGCCCGCCGACCGCACCGCCGCGCCCCACCCGCCGCTCGTCGCCGCCTGTCATTTTGCTCGATTTCCGTGAACCGAAACGATAGATGATTTGATTAATGAACTGGCCGCCTTCTACTCGGGTATTTGCTTGTGGGCGTATTCTCTGCGACCCGATCTCCTCTAGAAGCCCCGCCTAAAGCTTTCGCTCGGAGGTCAGGAGGTACGAGGCGAGGCGAGGCGAGGCGAGCTGAGGCGAGGCGATGAAAAGGCAACGATAATAATAATTATAACCATTATTATTAACATAATCACTATCATTATTACTATTACTATTATTATTACCATCTTGATT